GACAGCTCCACATCCACTTCAGTGGTCCGTCGTCGATCTTCCTTGATGATTTCACGAATTTTTTCAACATTTTCATGTGTTCGGGCCGTGGAAGGACGACCAGAACGAGGTTTGTCATCAATTGACATTTCACCATTTTTGAAACGGGAAAACCACTCAAACACTTGAGTTTTCCCCATAGCATCGTCCTTGTACGCCGTTTTTAACATTTCAAGAGTTTCTGTTCCACTTTTCCCGAGCAAAAAGCAGAATTTCACCGCCGCACGCTGTTCACGAAAATCAGCCATTGCAAAAACGACGATCACACAAAACAGTTGTCACTATAAACTCTGCCGAAACTAGTCCTTACCTTCTGAAGCAACGGTAGTCGGCTTATCGACTCAGGAATGTTAGCTCTATGCGCTCATAGCGGCAAAACGCGGTACTACAGAAGCTCTGCCCACAAAAAAATTAATTCGGTTTCTTTTGGGTACCCTATCGTATTGCCAACCTAAGACTGTTTGCTGTACAGTCTGTTGTCAAGAAGTTGTGGCAATGTATGATCTTAACTACACATCTTAATTACAATGCACATGGATAGTGGGAGTTGAAGTCAGCCACTGGTCCCCTCACCCTGCTAACACTGCACACCTCCCCTTTATCAGTACCAATAACAATTCAAGAAGCACTGGGAGAGGAATCTATAACCTCCGTAGATTCTGTCTGCACTCTCCATAGTAGGAAAGTGACATTAACTATCCAAGCTGTACGCTATGGCATGACCTGTAGTAGAGAGGTTCCGTCTACAGAGCTCCTTGCAAGAAGTCATACAGATGACTTGTTGTCACGCCCATCCGAGCACTGTTTCAAGCGGAGTGCAGATGTGCCTAAGCAATATGTATATGGCTGCTTCAGGTACGTGGATCCAAAGACAAAGCACAGGTATGAGGCACGGGCTGCCTTCCAACTGTTGGTGCAGCCTGGATCCTACAAAATTGGCCCTCCATCGGTCGCGGGTGTGGGCAAGCCTGTTGACCCGCACTTGGATCACGACACCGTGGAATGGGTCACCAAGGAGAGAGGTGCCACTATCCTCTGTGCCCTGCTGGTGAAACTGGATGGACTCTAACACTAGGGTGAGAAACAAGAAATGCATATAACATTTTGGAAGGAGGAGATTAAGGATTTAGCTATAGATGGATCGAGTCTTTTTCTGTTACAAGTATTTTATAGGCTTCAGTGAGATGGTAAAATGATCACTTACAGTCATAGATGGAAATATCAGATGAATTGTTGTCTGAGGATGTGGATTGGACTAAAGTGGCTCAGGACAAAGCCCAATTGTGAACACATGTAGAACCTTCAGAGTTCATACGTGGGACCCAATAGGTCGACATAATGATGACACTTTTATTCAAGAGGTGCTCAGTTTGAACTTTGGCCAGGGGTACAGCTAACCTGTCTGAGGTTCTTGTGATTTTCCTCACTCCAGGTAAATTCCAACATCATACCTCACTTGGGCCATTAGTGCCTCCTTGCAAATCCTTTCTGAGTCATCATTCATCAGTCATATCATTCAGTGCTGTATAGTCTACGTACTGAGCACACAACCCACAAACAGTTAAAGAAGATTCTCTGCGGTGCATGAATTTAATGACATGTTGATTATGAATTATGTTGTAGGTGAGTGTCCCATGGATTGGAACGTGAGTTGCCCTAGCTCTAGTCAGACGTACCGACCACTTGCAGTGATGTCTGGGTGCATGAAGACTGTAATTGTACAGGCTGGCCCATTATGCAGCACGCTGTACTCTGTTGTTAGTGTGGATTGTAGCATCACATCTGCACTGTTCTACAGCACCAATTTCATGGTCAATTTATTACACTGGTTTACAATAACTTAAATGCTACGAGAGTCCATAAGATGTGCTTCCAACTGAGCTACTGAAGCTGGAACACTTTGTTAATTGAATACTTGTTAGATGGAGCATCAGACTGTGTCTGCAACTTCGTGCTCATTGTTCTGTTATCTGCTGCAGATTCTCATTTCTGTGGGGTTTATGTCTCAGGAATCTATGGCAGAATTATGCCTTGCCGGATGTCTTCATACTGGAGAATGACAAGAAATTCAGCAAATGTAAAATTTAAAATATTTGGGGGGTAAGCATTAGTCTGTTATTTAGTATTGCACAGTAATGCCATTTTGGAGCATCCAAGAACAACAGAGGTGCAAACAAAGTATAGGTAGGCAAAACTTGGCCAAAACAGTTGAAGTAATGCCTGAGCGGAGAAAATTATGTAGATGAGCACTGTTACAGTATGAGGTTTTCACCTCGGATTTTTAGGATGATTGAATCAAGAGCAATGAAATGGGATTTGTCACTGGGAACAAAGAAATGCATACAAAATTTTCATTGGCCAGTAAATGTAAGATCATTTGGGAACCTTGGTGTAAATGTGATGATAATATTAAAAGAGGCATCATTTGTATATGTGGACAGAACTGGTTCAGAATATTGCTGAGCTTTTGGTTCCACAACAGCAGAGTTGCTTATACCGTTGTTGTGTGCCACTTTACTTAATGAACCTTGTCATACATTTTGCTTGTTTATTTACTTTGAAGATGTCTCGGATGCTGTCACAGATTGCGGTGGCTGTGGGTTCAGCACAGCTACAAGGTCTTGTAGGATTTTTGTGTATGATCTGAGTTTCCGCAGCAGTGAATATGTAAAGACCTTCTCCCTTTCTTATTTCCATATATCTACAGTACTGCATGCCAGCAGTCTCCAGTATGCAGCAAGGTCTCCTTACCCTAAATACTCTTATAATGCAAGAACTGCTCTGTGCATCTGAGTATCTTTTCAAGGACACTGAAGGGGCCACAGATTTGGTGTGCTGTGTGCCCTGTATTGTGACTTGCCTCCGTGACAATGAGTGGCCCCACAGCAGTTGACTAATATTCAGATGTTTAAGATATTCCTGAAGATTCCTGATGACTGTCACAAAAGCCTCTTATTGGTCCATACCTTTTCAACCAGTTTGCACCTGGATAATCTGATACTGTAGGCACAGCCATTGCAAGTACAAGCTTTTGTGTCGGTGGTGACGAACTCTTGCGACATGAGGAAATTGATTGGTCAGATGAATGGCTGTTTGCTGATCAGTGAAGGAATGCACAGAACCACGAACTTAATTCTTTTAACGTTTTCATCAGTCAGTATCGTGGAAGGAGTCAGTATGTCCACATTTTTAAGGGAAAAGAGCGTGGAAACCCTTGAGTGTTGTTTTTTATTTGTTACGGTGATGTTAAGTGCTGTGATGTGCTCAGCACTCTCTTTCTCTTATGAAACTGCTGTGTGGGTAGGACTGAAGTGTAATTCTGGATGAGTGAAACTGATGGAGATGTTTCTACCAAGTTTTCAAACTGACAGATGAGTGTAAAGATTAATTCCCTTATGCTTCCCATGTTGCTTGATTCCCACTCTTCTTATCTAGCTGTAGATGGCAGAGCAGTAGCTAGTGTCCCACATGGCCAAGTACAGACCCTGGACTTTCAGCCAGCAAATGATATTTATGTTCTTCAGATGAGCTTCACAGTTTATGTTGGTATGAATGATTATTCACGTTTGTTTAATAATGTGTCATCTGGTCATAGTGAAGTTCACTGGCTCATATACCATCTTCACCTTTATTTCTACCAGTCAAGAACGTGGTGCAAAATGGTGTAGTTCTGCTTTCATGAACTTTTGGGGAAGCCAACATATGTGGAATAGTACACATTTGTGTACAAACCTAAATTTTATGTTATTTTTATGTGAAAATATCAATCTTAATTTATTAAGTGAGATATGAACAGGTATCCATGTGTGGAACTGCTCACCTTTCTTGACCCCCAGACTGTTTGTGCGTGCATAAGTGTTTTTCAACTGAAGCAGAAAGTTTGTCTGCCTTCACCAACTTACGAGGAATCAAGAATGCTCTTTCATTGTTCTAAGCATTCCCTGTTTTAGAAACTAATCCCATATGAACATGTTGGACTTGTGCTTTTCACAGTGGTGCCTGTGAAGGGCACATCTGGGCTGAAACACTGTGTAGTTCAGAGAAGGAGTTGAGAAATGAGGCAAGCAAGGAAATGAGCAGAAGATGCTTAGCTCACTGGCTGCTGCTGCTGGTTTCTCTCTTGGCTCTCTCTTCAACCCTGAAGATGGAGGTAATATATTCCTTCAGAGTGCCAGGCTTTCTGTGAGCTGCCATAATGTATCCGCCCAGAATACCATGCTCTCAATGTCATCATGTTTGCCATATTCCAGTCTTCATTTTGTTTTTCTGTCTGTGCAGAGGTGCTACACTTAAGGGAGAGAAATATAGCCATTTATTTGAATATTGTTCTTCAGTTCCGTGACTGTTACAGACAAATCCTGATACTTAACAAATAAAGCATGTTGCATTAACAGAAGTGCTGTGCAAGTAAGAGTTATCTAGTGAAGTACGGAAACTGAACTGAAGAAGTCAGTGGAATGCTTCGGCGTGTGTCACAGCTGTGTGAATGTATGAGGTCTGTCAAGTAGCGTGAAGCAGTTTAAGTTCACACCAGTTGTGGGCCCTGATGCCTTCAAGGCACTAGCTTGTAAGTGAAGAGTTCACAGGTTGGCAGTTTGTTTGTTTGTTTGAGATGCCTGATTAGGGTGTGCTCTTTGAGACACAGTGGTCACACAGCCATGTGTTTCTTAGGTTTGATAGCACCATAAGTGATTAGAATTGTACCCCTTGATGGATCACTTTCCAAGGCGTTCTTTACTGTGGCCCCTCCAAACATTCATGCGTTTGTCAGGAGAGCAGATTTATGCATGAAAGCACTGTGTCACCAAGTTAAGTGAACCCAATTTTGCGTTGCTGAATATTGGCTGTCAGACTGCAGTCTCTATCCATGTTCAGTTTAACGTTTACAACAGCACAGTAATTGTGGAATCTCTTTTTTGAATAGTTACTGTGGGATTCTGATGATGGTGTATAACACACAGAGATACTGGGGTTTCAGACTTTATCCATCATCCTGGTTTTTAAGAGAACTAAGAAAAAAAACACATTTCGGAAACTGGATCTGTTTCCGTCCTCAGGTGAGGGAAAACACCTATTCTGTTGGGTCCCTTAGAAAGAGCTAGCCTCAGTCTTAGTTATCTTAAAAATCAGGACGATGGATAAAGTCTGAAAACCCAATATATATCATTTTTTTTTAAATTCATAACCATATTACTGTCTCCTTCGTTTTATTATGATTCCCTTCCTTTGCTTTCGCACCCAGAAGCACACTTAAAACATTTTGTTGCAATCGTCTCATATAAAAGTAATGAGATGAAGTCCCATGTTTTCTCTCCAGAGGCCGGGGGCAGTTGAATCCCCTAAAATATTGGAACCTGAACGCTATGGCATCACATCCTAACACTCATGTTGTAAGGATCTCAAATGTCACAGGACTGTGTGTACTGATGCTTTCTGCTCAGTGTAACTCCCCTGTCTGCAAGAGTGACAGTAAAGACGTGTGTCACATGACAGCTGGGTCAAATCTGCTTGAGTATCACAATGCACTCAGTGAAATGAAACTGTGATCTTTTTAGTTCTATTTGAGTGAACACTTTGAATATATTTCTGTTTAAACATCCTATGAACACATATAATTGTTTTATGTATCTGGATGTAGCTGCAGCATTTTAAACTGGATCTTAGGCCTATTGTTATTAGATCATGTTTAAGATGTTACTTAACCAAGTGATGTTTGCCAACCTGTGAAAACTTGTATGTAATCAGTACCAGCCAACTGTTGCCTGACTGGGTAGTATGGAGGTTAGCCTTCTTGAAACTTGGTTTGTAGCTCCATAAGGTAATTAGGATATCTTTAGGAAGCCAATTGCTTCTGTGACATAGTTTATTATACGTATTATTGTGTTTGTAGGAGCCTAATTGATGTTCTGCTCAATGCCATAACCTTAGTGATTACCAACTGCAATGTAAATATCATCTGTTGAAATTTGACTGTCTGCTTTGTAAGATTAAGATGATGTGCCTGCCTTCTGTTTTTTTGTTGATCTTTTGCAGCATATCGCGACACTCTGACTCGTTAATATTGCTGCGGAGGAATGTTTCATTTTCGGATGTCGGAATCTTGGGTTCTTTTGTCACAGATTTATAATATTTTGGTTCAGAGTTCTGTCTAATACAAGTTTACAAAATGTAAGATCCAGTGGTAATAATTTTAAAGGTTCACACTGTTATCATTTTGTAATATTCAGCATACACAGACATTCAATGCAAAATTTGTAGGTGTTCTTATAATGTGTCATCACTCCCCAGTAGGTAATTAGTTACTTCCGTCAAACAAAGCAAACTTACACTTTGGCTGTCTACAGTGTGAGACCACTGCTTCCATCTGTGGGGTGCAAGTTTGTACAATGATGCTGTAGTCAGGTTGCAAGGACAGTGTAGCTAAGATCTACCACACGGAGCTGGGCTATGTCACGGTGGGCAGTGTGGAGGTAACAGTGCACAGTTGCAGAATAATAACATTTGCTGTCAGAGCATTTTAGAAGCCCCTGATATTGCACATCACTGCAAAGCAAATTCATAGCAAGCAGTGGTGGTGTACCAAAGTATGTTCCTTTGGACAAGATTGTGAGCCAAACTTTACAGTATTCTCTAGCAGTCAACAGTTGGCTTGGTGTCATTTTTACTTATCAGTTATTTGCTGCAATAGTGTTCTTATTCGTTCTTGTTTGTTACAGATCTCTACTCTGTGGTACAGATTATTATATAAATGTTAATAATAATATTACATTTTTCTATAAAACTGAAGAATCTGGCAGTGTTATTCATGGGACTTGAACCCACCGCCTCCTGTGTATCCTGTTGCTCCTGCTCCTGTTGGCAAGCCATGCTGAGCTATTGTAAGTATCTGCTGTGCAATTCCTCTCATATTCTCTTATCACATCTGAGGCTCTAGCGAGTGTTACGTCTGTAGTGAGAGAAGTGGCACGTAAGTAATAAGTTGAACAACCTGTAACAGTTCTTGTATCTCTTTTGGATTACTTTTATTGTTACTGGTGAGGAGTCTTTTCCGGTCTAGAAAACCGAAATTAACAGTTGTGGGGATTCGTTGTGCTGGCCATGTGACACCCTCTCTCTGCAAAAGTTGGCACTAAACTTTGCTGACAAGCGGCAGTCGCTCGGTTGGAATAGTTCGCTTGCAGACTAAGATCACGGAGTTTGTTTTTGAGGAGTCTTTATTCCAGTGCTACAACATGTTAAATTAGGTTCAGCAGGTAAGTGACATGGATATATTCTTTCAAAGAATATGTACGGTATAGAATAATTTTATGCATTTGAACATGATTTTTCACCCCTCTTCCATGTACATGAGCAGATAATATTGTCATGGGAGCTGAGTGTGTGGCATATCACATCATCTGGCCTGCACACATCTCTTGTAACATCTGAACCATTTAGGAAGCCACTCAGCTTATGCTGAAGGTCAGAGTCACCTGAGAGCTCAGTAAAACCTGTAAGGGTTGCTGTCAAGTTCTCACGAGGCCCATTTCAGTTAATTGCGGTGCAGAACAGATGAGCAAGTAGTGAGACAGTGGATCAGTTAGTCAGTCAGGGAGTGAATGCATCTCACAGTTCAGCATAGACAAGTTGAGGGAAGAGTGTTGTGAGTGACCAGCTGCGTTGCCATGCAGGGATGAGTGAACAGGGAACTGATCTCAATAGCCTAAGTGGTTATTGTGGCTTGAACATAAATAATTTCAATACTGAAATATATATTAGAGAATATGTTTTGAAATGGATTGAACTAGCTCAGGTTATAGTCATGGACTTTGTGATCATCCTATAGGTAGTTTAGATGGTTATGTGGACAGCTGGGCTTTCAGTCACACCCAGACACGGACATTTTGGTCCCAGGAGCACGTTGCAACGGCCATTCCATTCCCGGCCACAGACAGCGATGTGATGCGGTTCTCATGACCAGTCAGACAGCCTGAAACAGTGATAAGCTGGTGAATTGTTGGCATAGTCGTGAATGGAAGGGGTTGGGAAGGAAGTAATGATGGTCCGTGCATTAGGTTGATCATCCAGAGAATTACTAGGCAGGCCAGAGTTTTAGAACGGTTCCCTTTGTACTGCAGACTGTCTCAGTACATAATGAACTCCACTCTGTATTATCAGGCTAACTGTAGTGAGCAGCTTACAGTTGCTCAGCTGTTCGATAAATTCTCCCGACTTTTATGCAACCTTAAGGCTCATTGCTGTGTGCACAAGACCCCCCCCCTCACTTCTCTGAGCCCTATTCAGTTCACATCCTCTTTCTCTTCAGGTTTTCTATCCGAAAATTGTTTATACATTTTTAATTTCCCATGTGTGCTGCACGTCCCTCCCGTCTCATTCTGCTTCATTTGGTCACCCTAATAACATTTTGTGGGAAGTAGAAATTATGAAGCTCCTCACCCCTGTTACTGCCTCCATCAGCACGCTGTTCCCAAACACCCTCAGTCTATGTTTTTCCCTTATGGTGGCACACCAAGTTCTCTATCCTCAAATGACCAGATAAAATCATAATTTTCTGTGTTTTAATCTTTAGCTTTTTAGCTTATGTGGTTGCCACTGATATACAAATCTCTGGCCACTTCGTGCAATCAGTCTGACACTGCTTAGTAGCTATGCTGCCTCTGACATTCTTGGTTTAACTTTTTATGGAGTGATTTTTAAAGAACCTTCAAAACACACTTCAAATTGAGAGAGTGAACCAAATGAACAAGAGTAAACATAAGACAGTCAGGTCCGAGGATATCAAACCTAAATACCCAGCAAACACTTTACTGCTGACAGTCTGTGACTGAACTCCAAATATTGCACAAGGATACTGGTAACATTACCATTGTGCTGGTTCTTGAGTGTGTCCCAGATGTGGACAGATGAGTCATCACTGCCACACAGCATGTAGCGACCCGAGAGCGACAGACCACAGGAGGTGAACCCTGAAGTGTTGTTTGGAGGATGGTAAGTTGCTATGTTCTGATCTGAACGTATGTCAAACATGCGAGCAGTCTTGTCCTCGGACCCTGTTGCGAATGCATAGCCTGATGGATGGAACTGCCGATCATGTAGTTTAGTTAATTTGGTTTGTTCAGTGAACTTGGGTCTCATTTAAGCCAGAACTACATATTGTTTCTTTCTGTAGGGCTGGTCTTGGAATTGCCTAGGTCCAGTAATTAGAACACAATATTGATGCAGTTGGAAAAGTGTCATTAAATATTACAAAAATTCTTCAATAATTTACATATATTCAATGAAATGTGTGCATATACACTGTGTATCAAAACTCAACGGCACAACTTCAGGAATGGAATCCTCATATAGTGAGAAGAAAAAAAGTCTATGACAACATGGGTCAGGAAATGCATAATTACAGAGTTATCCGAGCGTGTAATTTATAGAGTGCTATACTTCGTGCATGGTGGTGCTCCCGCATATTTCAGTCTGTCTGCCCGCAGGCACCTTAATACACATTATCTTGGGTGCTGGATAGGTAAAGGTGGACCAATTGCTTGGCCACCATGCTCTCCTGACTTAAACCCCCTGGACTTTTACCTGTGGGGACACTTAAAGTCTGTCATGTAAACGACTGCTGTTGCTGATGTACCAACTCTCCATGCGCGCATTGTGGCAGCCTGTCAGACAGTACGCACTACACCGGGCATTTTTGATTGTGTGGAGCACTCAATACGATGACGAGTGGAGGCCTGTATTCAGGCAGGAGGAGGTCACTTTGAACATTTCCTCTGATACGTGACCAGAGTGTTCCAGCTGGCATTACAGACATATTCAGTATAACAGTGTTAGGAGTGTCGGATTGCACTAACGTTACCAAAAGGTCTGATAACTGTAATTATGCAATTCTGGAACCATGTTGTCATACACTTCTTTCTTCTCTCTATATGAGGAGTCCGATCCTGAATTTTTGCCATTGAATTTTGATACACTCTGTATGATAGGATAGGATTTATGATTGTGTGTTACACAGGAATGTAGGTCACTGGTAATAATTAAAGATGGGACTGGTTGATGCAGCAGCAAATGGTAGCAAGAGGTACCTCTGCTTCAGTAGGTATTGCAGTCTTAAAAACATTTGCCAAAGAAAGTTGAATTTAGTGAAATTGTTATTTCAGTGGAAGGGCTATCTGTGGAAACAGCAGCCAGAGCTGGGAAATGTCAAATTTCCAACAAACATTTTACTAATGTAATATTGTAGGTATGCAAACCCACAGTGCACCATGTGCATATGTGGTAATGGTCAGACAACTTACACAGACAGAGTTCACATCAGATGTATGCCCAAAAAATGTTTGTTTGGGCTTGTCATCACGCAGGTCCCACAGTCTGCAAGATTTGTCCACGCTGCCAGTTAAGTAGCTCGAGGAGTCGGGTGACAGAGAGATGGAGACCACATCCCCTGAGTGGGCCTCAAACTCTAAGGACCGTTTACCCATCTCCAAGTCCCACAAGCAGCTGCATAGAGGTAAAAATAAAGTGCTTACAGAATATTTGGATGTGACACAGGGAAATGATGGGTGTTACATGATTTATGCTTCTCATGAGACTCAAACAGGAGGCTCTGAAGGGCTGAAGATGCTGATCAGAAACAAGAAATGCACCAAAATCTTCCTGAGTCATCAGCTGCATCATATTTGAACTGAAATCCATTCTTTTTGCTTCTACTGGTGATGTTGCTCCTGATGATACAGCTGCTTGTGAGACACTGGTTTCTTGCCCAGCTGCCATATGGCTCACACCCAAGATGATTTTAATGCATTGGTTCCCTGTGAAAGCTCAAATCTTAAAACAGTAATACTTAAGGATTCTGTTAGCGATGTGAAGCAGTACCTTATGAAGTGTCAGAAATGTAGATCAGCTGGCAGAAACGAGAAAATGGTACAGAATTCTATGGTACTCACATCTTCATGTCTCCTGACCCAGTAATAATTGTTTTGTCATCCAGAAAGCGACAGGAAGACAGAAAGCCCTCATATCCGAGGAGCTCTCGTACAATTTTGGCTGCACCTGTTGAGTCACGATTATTGAGGTCATAGACTGTACACATGTTGTCCATTCCCCCACATGCTGCAATAGAGTTGCCAGTAAGACAATGGCCAGTTGCTCGATGTGTCACAGTCAAGTTGTCTAATATGGCACTCACCAACGTAGTTTCCAGATGGTGCAAAGGCCACGCTCATGACCCAGGATGACCTGAGTGGGATGATCTGGACCTTGTTGCCCGTCCATGTGTCCCAGATTATGAGCTTCCCATCCAATGAGCCCGTCACTGCATGCCTGTGTGAGTGTCTGCACTTTATTCTGTATGCTTAACTCTATAGTAAAGACCAGAGCACTTCCACACAAAAGAAAGCACATCTCTCTTACACAATCATCAGTGTTTAGGGAAGCCATCACTGTTCGTTGTGAAAATTACACAAAGTAAGTATGCTCTGTGGGTGAAGTGACACATTAATGGACATTACTGCAGGTTATGTGTAATTACCAACCAATGCCCTCGAGTTAAGTTGTTAAATTGTTAAGGTACAAGCAGATGTTCCAGAATGTAAGAAATGTAAAGGTCAGATCTTTCTTTGTACCCAGAAAATGTTTCCAATCCAGCTCTGCAATTCTTCTCCTACATATTTTACCAGGTAAACAGAAGAACATATTGAATTAATTCACCCAAGTAATAATGACATTTTTTAAAATTTGTTCCTACATATTTGATATACATTCAAGCTACTTCCCAAACATCAGTAAAGATGTACTAGACTACATGTCATTACACCCCAGAGCACAACAGTCTTTATGTAACTTATTCAGGAAATTTATTTGAGAGAAATGTTAGGGACCAGGTCATGACAGTGAAAAGGCTAAGTGTGGCTTTGGAAAGCTTCTGATTCATGTGGACACTGACCTGCTGTCTCCACTGAAGTGGATCGAGTTGACCTTATTGATATGGCCCTTGAGGAGCTTCTTTGTGGTGAGCCGCACTTTGGGGGCACTTGCCACGTCTCCACAAATGTCCTCCAGTGTTTTGTCTGCTGCCTTATTCTGCTCCTCCTAACAACAGTGTCCTGTGTTAGTTCATTAGCAAGGAAGCCTCACAAGTCAAACCCTACCTTGTGGGGCTTTTCATTGCTGCCTGCCCCATGATGAGTCAGTCCTATAATATGATTTTTGTGGTTCCAAGAAAAATTCTTCAGTCATATATACTTGTCTGTCCAGAGAAACTAATGAGAATTAGAAAGTGATGATGTTGGCCAACATTTGGATTGTATCGGATTACGAGGGGAGTGCTTCAATTTATACACATTACCTAATGTTGTAGGGGTGATTGGTGACTGGACACATCTGGAAAACATGAATGCAGTTTACTTCAGCATAGCCTGTTTCTATGAAGATTAATTTACCCCTCTATTGATGCTCAAGGCCTTCTATGAGGTTTTCCTGGGAACACTTTTGTTTGCATTTCTTGTTTCATCATCTGTGTGATATCTGTTCTCATTTATCTTAGACACAGAATTTTAACTTGAATTGATCACAGTGCAAATGATCTTTGATGCTGACCACCTGAAAAGCCATACACACATACAAAATTTGAAGTTTCCCATCATATAATTCTCTCCATTTCCTCGTTACTCTACAAATGTCACCCATTTGCAAATTCAGTCCACATATCTGCCATGCATGAGGTACATTTGTACAACCTCTGTCTGTCCGCGTGTGAGTTAAAAGAGCTGAAATTGCTCCCATGCTTAAGTAAGCAAGATGTATGGGGGAGTACAGCTCTGCATATTCCTAACCTCACCATTAGATTGAGGTTAGTCATCAGCTTCACGCTTCAGCTGCTTTACCCCTGTACCTATTGCATAAGAGGTTGTGTGGGGCTCAGAGCCAATCAGGACACTATCAAGAAGGGAGAGAGTCTGCTCTTGTACTGGGAATTGAACCGAGATTCCCTGGTTGTCCATACCATTGCCTATTGACTATACTGACTGAGGTATTCTGACACTTCTGTTACAGTCATTTTATGGTTTGTCTCTGTGTACTGATGACCCTTTGCCATTGTGCTTCTAAACAAAATTAAACTTAGAAATCATAAATAGAGGCATGATAACTTGTGGAGTGAAGAGAGTTCTCCTATTTTTAATGGTGCTGATACCAAGATTCGTATGTGCAACGTCCAGGATCTGATCTTTCAATTCCCAGCAAGCACTCTTTCATACTCCGAACAGAAGCTATGGCCCTCATTATGAACTTGCCAGCAAAGTGTGGGGTATTCTGAGCTTCAACTTGCCTTGATTTTTGTCATCAGATCATCCAGTTCTTTTCGAAGTTTCTGTAGTTCCAGGTCATCTTTGGGTGGCATTGTCTTGCCCGTTCTGAAAGAGTGGTGTGGACATCAGCATTATTTGGCACTGGGAAAGCAAACACAGCTCATGCAACACCATGGCATAATTCCGAGCCACAGTCACCCTACTTGATCTCACTACAGCAGCTATGTCAGATGCTTATATTACAAAGTGCCTTTTTATGTAATTTAATCAATTTTATATTTACTACATTTGTTGAAAGTCCAAATAACTAATGAGCGCTTAAGGTCAAAGCGGCCCTGCAGCTGCACTGAGAAGAGGGAGAGTTCTGCAGTACTCCCAGATTTCCTGTTAGAAATTAGAGTTTTTTGGCTAAATGGTAATGAATATTTCCATACCCTCTCCTGTCATGATCAAATCTCAGTTTTTTTTTCTTTTTCCAAGTTATTTAAATTTTGTCATAGTTTCATATGATTTGATTTTAACAGTTAGACATCTGGATGTCTTTTTTAGTGATTTTAGGTACAAGACTCTAGCAGTACATTAAATTTTCAGGATTTATTTTTTTTTCTTCAGACACTACAGATATTTCACAGCAATACATGATCGTGTCTGTTTTCTGCATGTAATAGCATTGCTTTAATTTAAGAGATTCTGATGAAATATAGTGTGTGTGGAGTTGTTTCTGGAATTGTAATAATGAAATATAAATTTTGATCCAGAATTGAGAAATATGCTTTGAACAATTGAACAATACACTTTGTATGAAGGTTTATTTGCAATATTTTTCATGTTTTGGTAAATATTAATGAGTTTAAAACCATATCTTTATAGTTAAATGTTTAATTTTGAACAGTGAAATCTAACAGCACAACACATGACAGTTATACATCGATGCTGTCATATGGGCAATTGCCATTCAGGAAGAAGTGGAATCAGATGACAGTAAAGTTTTTGAGGAGCACAGCAGACAATTGTACTAAGGCAGAAAGTCATAAGATAAGTCACAATGTGACTAGAAATGAACACCCTGAAGTGCTTCTCCAGTGGGAAATGAATGCAGGTAGATCACCGAACTGACACAGAAACTGGAACCAGGGAGAGGTGTGTGGGAACACTGGATGGACCAAGAAAGGATAGAAGTGGGAAGAAGAGAGAGTTTTGATCTACAAGAGGTTGGGAAAGGATAGAATCCTTATCTGACACTTAGCTCAGAACAAATTTAACACGGATTGATGTGTCGGAAGACGGAGTTGGTGATTTCCTGCCAGTACCATAATAGCTCCCAGATATGCAAATCTGTGTGCCTGACTACATTGAAATGCTTCAGACAAAAGCTACAGAATGTAATGAGACAGGCATACTATGTAAACCATGTTGTATTTTGTACCTAATTTAATTAAACTATCTTTTTATAAGCAGTTCAGTAACATGACTGACATACATTTCCAAGTTTTGCTGTTCTCTTTACTTCCTTCCCAGTGCTGCATCTACCAGTTGTATGGCTCTCCTTTCTGTTGTCTGCTCTGTGGTCTCGACCGGAATGCCCTGGCACTATGGGTAGTCTTCTGCAGTAACCAGTATATCTTATTAGACTAATGCCATTACAGTAGCTTTATTAAGTTGCTTGCTGCAGGGGCTTAGCTTGTCTCCCATCTCTGTCTGCTCTTTGTATGATTTTGCTTCAGAGCTAATAACAACCCCCACCCCCATCAGTCCATTTTAATCTCATTTCCTTTAGGTAATAGTGTTGTAATTTTTCCTCGTATTTTTCTTTAGGATTTTCTAGTTGTGGTGACTATGTATTACATTCCCTATCCTGATTTTTTTTTGCCCTTGTATCTGAAGTTGTCAGTCTTTTTGCATATGTGACCTACATTTATGAAAAACTGGGTGTGATGATTCAGTAACAGAAAAGATAGGGCCACACCATAGCTCAAGCAGTTAGTTGGTTCGATCCCGGGTCTGGTCAAGTGGGATTTGTGGTGGACAAAGTGCTGCTGGAGCAGGTTTTTTCCGAGTACTTCGGTTTCCCTTGCCAATCTTCATTCCACCAATTTCTCCACAATCACCCTCACCTATCATCTGGGGCTGGTACAATAGGCCAGAAGTGGCCGCAGTACAAGGGACTTAGTCCCACCCCACTGGCAATAAGAAACCCAGAAAAGATAGCCAATTGAGATGAGTGCCACAGGCAACTCTTTTTTTTTTAACTATGTGTTCTTCCTCTACTTGTGTCAGATAGAAAGGTACCTGTCACAACTATCGTATTATTCCTTTACACATAAGAGAATTTTGAGATTTAACAGAGTCACATTTTAATTATCTGGTGTAACTGTACACTCATGCAAAGCAGCCTTTCGTGGGTCAGTCATAGGTTGAAATCGTTTGTTAAATTATTGAATTGAAAATCAGCTTATCAAAGAATAGGTTTAGTTCACGCATAAGAATCAGCCATGTACCTGCAGGGAGGAGAAAGAAAGGGAAGAAGACAGAAAGAGACCAAAGAAGAAAACAACTCCAAAGAAAATAAGTATTAAATGTAGCACACTTTGTCATGAGACAAAAGACATGACAAATACTGTGTTGTAGAACGTCATGATGTTTGTGATTAAATACAACAGGGGAGATAAATGTTGCAGATTCTAAAGGGTGCTGACGATGGTGGATGACACACAGAATTACTGGGTTTTTGGACTTTTCTATCGTCCAGAATTCTAGCTAATAGAGGACACAACGTTTTGGAAACTGGATCTGTTTCCGTCTTCAGGTGAGAAAGGAAGACGCCTACTCAGTTGAGCCCCTTAGAAAGAGCTAATCTCAATCACTGGATTGCTCTTTCCAAGGGGCCTAACTGAGTAGGTGTCTTCCTTTCTCACCTGAAGACGGAAACAGATCCAGTTTCCAAAACGTTGTGTCCTCTATTACCTAGAATTCTGGACGATAGAAAAGTCCAAAAACCCAGTAATNTGTTGTTTTGCACTTAATAACATGAAACTGCAATCATTACACGAATTTCTTCTGTAAACTATCTTCTGGGATATAACGCCGCGTAGTCCACGTCTTCTAACGTCAGTTGACCAATTGATGTTAAAAGGAATGTATCGCCTCCATCTTCAGGGTCGAGGAATAAAGCAAATTACTTCCACGCTGTTTATTTTTTCACGGCTTATTCAACCCTGAAGATGGAAGCGATATGTTCCTCCGAAACGTCGGTTGACTTTCAATAGACTACACGGCTTTATATCCTAGTAGATAGTAAGTGCTCTTAAACAATTTTGTATTTAAAAATGTCAATATAAGCGCCTTAACAACAGTCGAAGTTGGCGGGCACACTTCAAATTCAATGCCAGAGAGAAAACAAATTTGACAGATACAGTCAAACGAAATGTTTAGTGTAGGATGCATTGTTGGGCATACAAATTCACGCTTATTCCATTAGACTTCATAACATTGCGTTCTGAAATTGCGAATTTATCACGAGTTGGTGTATCGGAAAAAGAAGACCACGCCTCTTATCGAGGTGCAAGGATGAGTGAGAAAGTGCTAGATAATTATCTTAGATTTCCATGTAGTGTATCCCACTCCTTGTTAGGAGGCAAGTGCGGAAACAAATGTTATGCCCAGTCATTCTCGAAGCATGTCAAAACTGTGTTGCCAAGTAACGATTATTACGAAAAAAAAACGACGTGATGCGGTCCTTAGTTTCAGTGAAGTTGGATGCACGACACCGTTACTTTCCATCGACTCCCAGCTAAAAAGTCTACAGTCTCCGCCTACAATCTACGCATTTCTTCTCACTGTTGTTTCTGGATAGAAAGCTTTATTAGTTACCCGTCTACCGTTTTTCGGAACACGTGAAGTGTTCGACAACGATGCGTCGGGTTGTTTTTATTGTGTTTTATCTAACAGGTAAGATTAGTTTATTGATGTGTGTGTGTGTATATATATATATTTTTCCCCCCAATATAATATGTATGACACTTCACTTTATAACAAGAACGAGAGGCAAGCACAAAATGCAGACGTCTCCTGGCATCTTCTGATGTGCTAAAAGTGCTGACGAATTATTCATGAAGCTAAATCGGGTATGTGACAGAATTATCACAGAACTAGTGGGCCTAGAGAACCACGACTTGTGCTATGTTGGAAATGACTACCGATATGCTTTACAGGATACGTTGTGCTGCTAGAATCTGAAGGAGAATGTCATGTTGGCTTGCGGGGTGATGTATGCCTTCACAGGGACGTCAATACTTCTCTTGACGGAGCACCCAAGTTTCATGGTACCTTAAGCAGCGGATATTTGACGACGCATACAAATACTAAAGTTGACAGTAAGTAAATGGTGTATAATTTATGTAGATATATAAAAATCAGAGCATAATATTTTTAATAATGTATTTGAAAATTGCCGGCGTGTGTCGATGCGCATCTTTCTACGGCGCATGTGTGGAGTTGTAGGCGGTTTTTTTGGTCATTGAACTGGAAGTATTTATGTATTAAAAACATGTATTTGGGGAAACTGATAGCTTAAATTATACAAAATTTATAGAACTCTTACTTGTGTTATTATATACATTTATTATGTGAATTTTAGATATATAACCATGTTAAATGGGTGCAACAGTTTCAGACGCAAAGAGTAAATATTCGTAGGATTGTTAGTACGTGTAACAGCTGGATTTTCGGGAGAGGTTGCGTGCGTGCTTCCAGGCACGAAATGAGTGTGTGATGTGTGTTGTGCGTAAAAGCGTAAACATGACATTACGACGGGTGGCTTTGTTATTGTCTGTGTTATACTTCGTAACACTATTTAACGGAGCCTCTCTCAAAGACAGAAAATATAAGGGTAATACGAGAGTATCTATCAAGAATCGAGAAGTTCAGTGTTTGTGTTACAGTAACCATTTTAGTATGCACAGATTTATCAGGGTTTCATCATAGTAAATGCGTTAACATTTGCACATTAGGTATTATTTGTCTTTATCACAGCCCTGTTTAGCAGGGAGGTTGCCCTGCGTGAGTTCAAACCACACCAGAAATGTTTTTAACGACACGAATACTTTTCTGGTAGCAAGTATAGTTATAGAAGAACTGGCCATGTAAGAACCAGCATGACATATATATGTAGTTAATTTTGAGTCTGTGCAGTTTTCATTAATGGATTTTTATGGGTTGTTGTGTGATTTAGTATTGCAAGCTTTTTCCACTCTGTGCATGAACATCAAAGAAAAACAGATGAAAATGCTGTCATTATTGATAGGAATATAATAATTGTATGTAAAAACCCCAGTGCAAACCATTGTTCAAATATGACCTGTGAAGAGAATCACAGTTTTGGGCCATTACAGAAACAGAAATGTGGCATGACATTTGTTTTTCTCCTGCTCCCCTAGCCACATAAGAACTGAACTGTAATGATGATGAAGTGTCCCAGTGGATTGAACTCCAGTTTCATGCTTGTCCAGCTTGTAGCCTTGTCACTGTATCACCTGAGCTGTCCAAGTTACAAACCATACAATAAAGCAGATTAAATTAAATTAACCAGTAAAAGTAAGTAAATGTATTCCTGTAACAGGCTGTGGAGGCCCATAGGGTTGTGAGATGTTGAGGTTCCCATATTTTCTAGGCAGTCGGCTCACAGATGGCTGTAAGGTTGTCAGCCTTACGCGCCGGCCACCCTTTATCCCCAAGAATATTCCAAGAATATTCCTGGTACTCATGTCTGTTAGAGGCTGGGTCGACTCCAGGGCCATAGTGCAGCTTGAAGGATTAGGTCAATTGAAAAAAAATCCAATGACCTCATCAGGACTTGAACCCGTGACATTCTGGCTTGTAGCATAGTGCCTCAACCAACTACACTACCGCATGCCCCAAAATTAACCAGACCTAACTTAATATAACATAATATGTATTATTGAATTGAATACCTGTTTGTTTAAACTTCGCTGCAGGTGTATCTCAGTGAATAGTGTAACATTATTGAAATGTGATGACAACAAAGAGTCATAACTAATCTGACCCAAGCTATTTTAGTATTTTCTCCTTCTTTATAATCTTATTAATCTTGATAACATCCTCCTTTATTCCTCCTCTTGTTCTCATAATCTCACTCCTTCATTGTTTCCTTATTCTGCTTTTTGAACTCCTTTTCCTTCTTTAACATCAACTCACATTTAGTGTACCATCATACTCCCTTGCTGTTGTCTTTCTCTCATCTTATTCTTCTTAACCTCCTTCTCACTCTTTCCCTTTTCTCCCTCTGCATTCATTCTATTGTCAAACTTCTGTCCTCCTGTAATGATGCAGCCAGTATAGTTCTGCATTCACGGACTGGAAGAGATACTTTTGTGTCTGTAACTTATTTCAGTGCCCATTGGATTTTTGTGAATGCAGTATTCTCATGGTATGAAAGCCCAGAATGTACAGACTGGGGTGGGAGTGCTCCTCTGTTACGGGTTGTTCAACTTTGTGGTTGCTTGCTTAATTAAGGTTTAGTTGCGCCTGTCCTGCTGGCCCACATTGCAGTGGTGTGCAGCCAGGCGCAGAATACTTGTGAGCGAAAGTATGGAGCAATCATGCATGAGAACTTTCACATTTTTTCCGCTAGTTACAAGTGTTTTTGTCAGAATCTTAAAATGCCACTCTTGCTTCATGTTTGAGAGAACACTGTTCTGGCTTGGCCCACAGGCAACTGTGCTGATCCTTTTGCACAAATGTTGGGTAGTTCGCTAGAAACAGGACATGATTTGCAGTCCTTCTGCTGTTCATTCCACCAGTTGCTCCACAGTCACCATCTTCTGTCATGTGGGGCTGGTACAGTAGGCCAAATAGTGGCTGCAGTACCAAGTGGACTCAGTCTCACCCCACTAAGAATAATAATAATAAAGAAATAATTCATTTCTACTTGGTCTTGTTTTAAGAAATTTGATAAAATTCAGATTGAGTGTAGGACAGCTGCAAGCATCTTTTAAACATTTTTCAGATGTGTTTGATAAGTATTTCAACACAACAGAAGCTGCTGACCTCCATGTGGAGATAAAATGTGAGGTCATGTGATGTTTGTATACGGGAAGAGTCTGTGAACTTATCAGGCCTTACGTGTATAAACAGAGCCATTTAGCTATGTCCACAGAAGGTCGTTCTTGTGATATTTGCAAAAGATAAGGAATGACATTTACTGGCAAGGAATGGAGCCAGTGTTGTTATGCCTCTTAGGAATTCACATGGATAAATGAGGGAATTATTGCAATTTGGGATTTGAAAAGGAATATGGACCCTCTCATGCACAGTTTGTTGAAATCAAGATGTCGTCAAGTCACACTTAGTGCTGTTTATACTGCCATTATCACTGTGCTTTCATATTTATAAGATTTGCTCCCTCATGTCTATGTATGTCTTCCCAGAGCTCCTCCTCAGGTTTCCTGTCATGTTCTTCTTTCTTTCTGTGTGACATGTTGCCTAATGTTTTGTTTCCATCTTGATCCTTGTCTTCCTCTTGGAGGTTTTCTTTTCAGTTTCATATTTTAGTCCTTCAGGATTCTGTGTTTATTCATTCATAAAGTGTGGCCATACCATTTTGTTCTGTTACTTAGTAATTTATCTTACAAAGCAGTTGTTGGTTCCTTTATATTTTGGATTGTATATAACTGATATGGACCTAATTAAACTTATCCTGCTGCATGTAATGTAAGCTTAATTTGATTGAAATTTTCTGAGCGTTGCTGGAGATGACGTAGGCAGAAGGACATGATCTCCAAATTGTGCATTCACTATATGCACTGCAGAGCTCTGCTTCCTGGAATATAATGCTGTGTAGTCCAGTGAAAGTCAGCTGATATTTTGAAGGAACAAATTGCTTCCATTTTCAAGGTTGAAAAATAGGCAGAGCGAGAAACCGGTACGAAGCAGTCAATAAGCATAGCTCTTGATGTACTGAAATTTCATGGGAGAGAAGACGTATACTGTTCGTTTTCATTCATTCCGTGCGGTGCTAAGTACCTTTGCATTTTGTAACGTAAAGTGTTGCCTTCCAACTTGCGGGCTCTGTTCATTTGCAGAGTGCAGCAGTGCATCTTTTTTGTTGTTGGTGAATTAGTGTGATGTGACAGAGCTGAACCATGAAGTCACAAAGTGAGAAGATCTGCAGTCAGTGACCTGTCTGCTCCTGCACTGTTTTAGTGGAATCTCCTGTAACTGGCAGAGCACACAGCTTATGCTAGCCACTTTCTTAATAACATATGTAACATAAAATATTTGTCTCATCAGTGACAAAAGTCATGGTCTCAAATAATTTTTGATCTGTTCATTATCATTCAAAAACTAGTAGAAAACCCATTGAAATTTGTTGCAGTTATAAATAATCACTATTGTATTTGAAGCATAAAATCTATTAACAAAACAACGTCTGAGCACATGCATCAGTTTTGCCCATATGACAGTCTTAAAAAATAGCAAACCTCAATAACTGAAACTTTCTGGAGAGACAACTACAATCATACTAAAACTTCATGGAATAATAATAATGCTGTAAGCAGTGTTACTGTCTGAGGTACGCTGCGTACTTTTTTTGGAAAAGGCAGACACTGTAGCAGGGGCTTGAGAATTCCTTCCACTGCCATTTATGGCTGCACTCAAGAAAACAGCACCTTTGAGCTGTGTGCAGAATATCTTGAAAAACATTACGGGAATTACTTGGGAGATTTCAGCATAGACAGGTGGATAATATTAAAATGCATCTTTGGGAGATGTAAATTAGGCTGAACTGATTCAGTGTATGGCCATATGACATGCTTTTTTGATCATGGTAATGAACCTTTGATTTCAGAGTATAACAAAACATTTCTTGACTCACCCGAATTTGCTTGACGAAGATCCTGTTCCTTGTTCATTATACTGAGGCCACAGAAAGAAGTCCCATGGATTGACCAATTCCACATTTCACTCAAGCTGTTAGACTTCCTGCCCCCACCATATTTCTGTATATTGCCCCTCAGTTGTCTAGCCACTCTGGTCACATAAGTGATATATGATAACTGTTCCTGCTAGCAAAACCCATTTTGGGCCTAAGGGAGACTCGAGGGGAATACAACACACTGCAGTTCAGTGTATCATAGTGCATGTGTTAGAAGAGCTAATTGCAACAGGTTTTGTATGTGTTGCAAAGTGCAAGTGTGAAGGCATCTGTCCCCATCAAACACTGAATCCCTAATTATTTATTATTAAGGGACACAAAATTCTGAATTTTGACTGACAGTTTTGTTTATAGTTTCTGTAAATAGCTCAGAATATACAGCATTGAATGACAGGATAATATAGAATAATGGATTGGAAAGGATGTGAAAGGAAGCAGCCATGGCCTAATTTGAGGTACTGTCCCATCATTTGCCAGGAGGGTCTCAAGAAAGCCATGAAAAATATCGATCAAGACAGTCTGTCCCTGGGTGAAGGTTTGAACCTGTATCTTCCCTAATACAAAGCAGAAGTGCTAGCCACATGACTGTAACATTATGGATATAATGCAAGAACTTGACTATTTGTAGAGAATCCTGTTCACCAAAATCTTGAAGTTGGTTTACAGATGTCATATAGTTGCCAGATCCTTTTGTTGATGCAGGGATTTTACTTATTTCTTTTGTTCATAGATTTCCTATTGGTGACGGTGGCTACAAACCAGACTGATGGGTTCCAGAGGTTCTTGCGCTCAGCCAAAGTGTACAACATTCCAGTGAAGGTAAGGTGTGCCTATTGTGTTAGCTCCCAAAAGGTAGGGTGCTGTTCCTTTAGAACTGCTGTAAATGTTAAAGATATATAATGTTATGAATTGTGACATCATCACCTGATTTCTGAATGTGGCTAATGCATACAGTTGTACAGTTATCGGAACTCCTGACGTGAACAGTAGTGAATTCCACTCTTCCAAGTTGTAGTGTGGTGGCCAGCAGAGGAGTCTCAGAGGCTAGCATTGTCTTGTGACCTCATTTGAGGCCCATTATTCCTCACCTGTGGAAGGGAAATGTATGCAGTCCCAAACCCGAGACCTATATGACAGGTCAGCTTGTTCAGCTCTGTGAGGGCTGAGATCTGATGGTTTTGTATATGAGTACAGTTGTTTGCAGGTGCTGGGCCTTGGGGAGAAGTGGGAGGGGGGAGATGTGCGCAGCCATGCAGGCGGAGGCCACAAGATAAATCTTTTGAAGAAAGAGCTGCTTGAACACAAAGATGACCCAGACAAGGTCATCTTGTTCACTGACAGGTATGCCTGCTGTCCATTTTGTCTAGGTCTGCTCACATAGGCCTGCCTGTCTGACTGGTTTGTTAGCTCTGTCTGTATCTTTGCAGCTATGATGTGATCTTGCTGTCAGGGCCAGACAAGATAGTGCAGCAGTTTGAACGTTTTGATGCCCGAGTTGTGTTTTCTGCCGAGGGATTTTGCTGGCCTGATGAGGGGCTGGCATCAAAGTACCCAGCCGTGCAGAGAGGAAAACGGTATCTGAATTCTGGAGGTATGGGGTCCATACCCAAGCAGATGTCTGTATTTTGATTCTGTCTGTTTCTCGAACCATTATGAGTAAGTGCTACTGCACGTAGTGTTGTGATAACAGGCATTCTTCTGTCCTTTCCTGTTTGTTCTTCTGTTTTGAGTGCACAGTCCTGTTAGAATGGAAACTCTGTAGGTTCAGTTTGATTAGAACAGGATTAGATGATTGTAGGACAAGATAGTGCTCTGTGTAAGTACAGAATATAATTTCATGAAATACAAGAACTTTCAACAAATACGACCATTGGAAGTGTTGTGTTAGAAGATGCTCAGTGGTTCTGAATCACAGGCAATCACTTCACTTGTATTTATGAACTGATGTGTTCAGCATGGAGAACATCAGAAGTGAAGTTGTCTGATAAATAACTGTAGCATGAGTGTAGTGAAGAAGTGGATGCAGGTGCACAAAGGATGCTTATGGGATGGAAGAATGGAAAAGCCTTACACATGCAAAGATACTCTATGAGGGAATTGTCATTAGATGATGATGAAAATGAAGTGAACATGAATTGTTTAGAAGCAAGGAATTTGTTGCTGTCCTACCATTTGTTAACTGTGCATTGGGTTGTCAGGAGGCATAACTGTGAGAATGTCCAAAATAAGGCCATGTGGAACAGTCTGGCTTTCCTCAGGAAGGGGCTGTTACAGTTTTCGCTCATAATTATACTGTGTTGTAGTCATTCATTTGAAACTCTGTCAAGATTTTAAGAAACAGGAGTAACAATGTTACTGTTCAGGACAGAATCAGAGAATGGAGTTTGTATCGTTATTCATTTCAGTTTGTATTACTTTCTATATCACCTGTTTTGTATGGTTATGGGAAAAAGTTTCTTGCCCTGAGTGAAGTGCTTAAGTTGAAAGTATATGGAAAAAAATGTTCAAAATACTGTAATATGATAGAGATAATTGTCAAGCAAGGAGCACTGTCGAGGCAATATGTAGCTTTATGTTCTAATTTGATCACGTTTTGTGTATTGCAGGTTTCATTGGTTATGCCCCAGAGCTGTATAATGTGGTGACATCAACTGCAGTTGCCAACGATGACGACGATCAGCTGTTCTATACCAAAGTTTACCTGAATGAGGAACTGAGGGATAAGTTCCGCATCAAGCTGGATCACAGATCAGACATATTCCAGAATCTTAATGGTGCTATTGGTGAGCCATGTCTGTTTGTAACACATTGAGATCAGCCCCCTAGGAAACTTTAGAATGTCACCAATAGCATAGGTGGGAGGATGATATTAAAACAAATGTTATAGCAGAATTTTGATATGTAGCATCATAACCATTACACTTATATTAATAATGATCTTATTAATTACCATCCAGTGTAACATATGTGAGGTGATTTATTTTACTGCTTTTACATGTGTTATAGTGTCATCTGCAGAAGATGTACGAGGAAAGGAAGTGCTTTAAAATTGCTTTAAAATTAGAATATATAATATTTTGTATAATATTATAAAAATTATATATGAGGTATGACCTCTGTGCTTCGTTTTTGTTGTTATTGGTTATTTTGTTGTAGTATTTTCAGATGCTACATATGGTTGCAGTAGTGTAGTAAACCTTGTTAATCCAGATTAATTGTGGTAGGGTTCATCTGGATTAATGATGCAAAATATAACCCTAAAAAAACAGAAAACAAATAAATGGAAAATTTAAGAATGTAGGTAGTGCTGATGGAAATAAATGAAAAATATCACTGAAGCAATTTCTTCCTGTCAGAAGCTGAAATCCAAGGTCTCATTCATCCAGCTCAAACCAGTCTTGGATATTTTCTTACGTGGTTTCAGTCTGTCACCCTCAACGCAGTCTGAAAGTCCTCTTGCTCCTAAATCCCTTGTCTCTTAAAGTATTGCCACGTGTAGAGTGGTACTTGTGGTGAAAATCACGGGTTCTAGATTGGATGATTGGATTTATTAACAATTCGGTTACAAGTTATCTTAATTACAATTAATACAGTGGTATCGCTGATTCACACACTTTCTGGTTCACCATTGCACAGGCACTAGAATTCTCTGTCTCTACTGTTCATCTCCTGGCAAAGGATCTCAGCACAGAAATTAGCACTTCAAATCAATATGAATTCTTCTTTTATCTTCAATCACTTTGGAACCTCTGGACTCACTCCTCCAGCTTACAACTGACTTGTAACTGCCCTTGAACTGATCCTGGCACTGCATTCACTTCTGTTACAAGTACTCTGCACAGACCTCCATAGGAAGCACCGTCTGTGTTGTTGATGATGTCGCTGCTTACATGGAAGTGTGTTTACCAACCCTTTGGGTAGAAATGGGTTGCATAACCCCCTTGTTCCACTGCTGCTCAGCACAGACAACATAGGAAACAGCCTCATCTATTGTTATGTGACCTAGCAAGGGACTGTGAAGAAAGCAGTCTTCTGGGATTTGGCACCGTGTATATGTGGTGTTAACCGACGTTTCGGAAACGTCGGTTAACACCACATATACACGGTGCCAAATCCCAGAAGACTGCTTTCTTCATAGTCACCGCCGTGAAAGCCTCAAATCTTACATAGCAAGGGACTGTGTACCAAGAATCCGTCTTTGTAGGAACTTGTTTACCAACACGTTACCTAGCATTGGGTGTACATGTAACAGTACGTTCTCAACTGTGAACAGAATTTTTCAGTTTTATATTTTGATCCAGATTAACTGTAACCAGATTAGCAAGGATTTACTGCATCTCTGTTGTGGTTGTGTGACTGATGTGTGTCGCAGTGCAACACAGTGCGGCTGCCTAAAGCGGCAGTCGCCTCTTTCTGTGCTTACAGCGGATGTTGAGCTGATGTTCAGAGGGCAGGAAGCATATCTGCAAAACACGGTGTACAGCACAGCACCACTGGTGATCCATGGGAATGGTCCAAGCAAGCTGGTGCTCAACACGCTAGGCAACTACTTGGCAAACAGCTGGAACCCGGAAGATGGCTGCCTCAGTTGCTGGGATGACTCAGTTGTTCTGGAGGACAAAGATGTAAGTGTGATGTGAAACTGTGGTAAAATTGAAAAGTGATTAAAAACACATGAGATTTACTGTTGTCACAGCAGTAAATATTAAGACTGAAGTTTTCTGGGACATGGATAGACACACACACATCTACCAAATTACATGAAATCAGATCGAAGAAGGCTGTGTAATCTTGATTAAGAACATGAATGCTCCTTGTAATGAGGATATTTTGGAAAAGAGACATATTTAAGCCATCAGGAGCTGACATACGCGGTACAGAATTGTGTGCTGTGGAGGAGAGTGGTTCATGAAGATATTTTTTTGTGGTGCCATGAATCCAGGCAATTAATGTGCAAGTCATTGTGGCCATTCATGTTCCCAGGATTTAGATTTTGAGTGGGGGAGTTGTGTAACTTTTGCAGTTGGAGCAGTGTTGATGAATAACCTAAAATGAATCAGTAGTCCATTTGATAGAAAATTTGGAATAGAAATTTTCTTTAGGTAAGAGCACTCCAGGAAAAATTGTGTGGATTGAAAGAAATTCAAATTGTAGAAAGTCATATGTCACCTGAATTCTGCATCGTGTATAAGAAGCAAAGAAGATAAATTAAAATTTTTAAAAACAGTTCAAAGCCTTATAGAAAGGGGCATTACCATTTAAAACTTTGGTAATGCTGGTTTAATAAAAATCACTGTGTGAATCCTTTTGTCATTTACAAGATGAAGGTAATTTGATTGAAAAATATTGTCATTTTGCAAGGATGTGAGAGTTTCTTGCTCGTTGCAGCCGAAGAGCTACCCGATTGTGCTGATAGCAGTGTTCATTGAGCAGCCCACTCCATTCTTAGAAGAGTTCCTTGACAAGCTGTACCACATTGAGTATCCCAGAGAGAAACTGCATCTCTTCGTGCACAATTCAGTAAGGGAGCCTGTGTGTCAGACTTGAGATTCTCACTGCAATAAAATAAGTTCTGTGTGACATGTAGTCATGGCAGTAGAGGGTCAGCTCACACATTTTAAAGTGAGTTGATGCAGTTTAATATTCCCAGAAATCCAGGACTTCTTAGCAGTTTAACCGTTAAACCTTCACAGGAAACATGCTGCATGTCCATTAAGAACATAAATGCCGTTTATGGAAACAGTTCGTATTTGTTTTCAGTATCATATGAAATGCATAAAAATGATCTGTAGGCAAAATATTGAAGTAGGTGGTATGTATTGTAACCACTTCCCTTTAAATGGTTAGAGAACAGCCATTGCTATGTTTACCAAATGCTTTAATATTCAGAACTCTCCTTTCGGCCCCCACAGTATATTTATGTGTTTCATGTGATTTACAGAACAAGGTGATACTCTTTGCGATGGAGATGCTGTGTAATGTCTGTGAGGTAGGAACTGAGGTTTTATGGATTGTTGAGGTGTGTTTCAGTCTTTAAATTTTAACAAGTTCTTTAATTTTCAACTGCTGGCTAATGGTATCTAAATTCATGGTCTTATGACCAGGAATTACTTTCATATGTGTGGTTTGCATTTGGAGACTGTAGTGTATGTACACACATTTCAGAGGAACAGAGTTTT